ATGGAAAAGAACCCATGAGTGTGTGTATATTTTAAATAGATATATTTAATTTCAAGGTTTCAATTAGCATTGTGAGATGGCCACRTTATTCCTGAGTGATAAAACTGTGAGATACACAAATATTCCTAAACAAGGATTAACACAATCTTTGTGAACTCCTGTCTTAAATGTGTCATCACTTTAGAAATTTTTTAGCCATTCAAGAAAAAATGTTAAGAAACTCTGTTGAACCCTAGGCTGGACTCAGAAGGACCTGAAGTTAATGCATTTCTGAACAGGTCATAAACATGAGGAAAAAAAATATTTTTCTTAAAGGTTATTTCTTAGCTATGTGTGAGAAGAAGTTGGGTTTAAATATAATTCCTGAGGTGAATTTTAGATTGTGGCAGTTGTAAGTGAAATATTTTCGGAACAATGAACAGAGGATGAACTGGGAACATGTTGTTAAAAATGCTATTACAGTCTGCTTTAAAAAACCTTGAGACTTGAAACACTTGGTGTTTCAGCCTGCTGTGGTCCTGTATGGACAACAGAGGTTGTGCAGGCTAAAATACACATCTAGTACTGCTTATTGCATACTGTGCTAGGCCTTTGTCCCAAATGTTTGCCAGTGCAAGATTGTTCCCATCAGCTGATGTCTTTGATATAATCTGCCCAATCTACCTGTAGAGGGTATGGTCTCTGCCCTTGATTTTCAGATCAAAGCTTTCCAAATGATGCCTGATGATTTTTGTTTTTCCTTTTTACGCTTTCTGTACCCTCTATGCATTCCCCTGTACCCCTYAGCCCMCATGYTTGTAATTCCTGATATTCCAGCTCAGTTTAGGAATTCTGCTGGGCAGAGAAACAAAACATCCTGAGGAAGGAGTCAATGTGCCCTGTGCTATCTTAAACCCGAGCTCAGCCTTGGGTGAAGCCTTCTGTCCAGAACATCTTGTGTAAACTGGGCTCTGGCCTCATCTGGGGGGGATTCATTAGAATAGGGGGACATCACTGCATTTGTGAAGTTTCTTATTGGGGAATCCTAGATAGATATGCTAATTCCTGAAACCTATAAAACTTGTACCCGTGCTGTACACGRGKGTGCATTCTGCCATCAAGTTGTGCACCTGGGATCCCAAATMCYGAGGTAAAACCCTTTTTATCCCCTTAACCATGTCCGTGTCATTATTAAAAACTGCCCTTTCAAAACTGGTGCCTCAACCTTGTTTTCCTCACTTTTGCAGTTTCTACGAGTTTCAAAACATGCACATAATCTCACACTGAATAAACTCTTTCCAAATARTCTGTGCTAATCTTAACAATGTGATGTCATCCAAACTCCACAGCATTTGTGAAACATGTTTTAATATTCCAGATCTTTTGATCTTGTCTCATAAATCAAACACTTCATCTCTTTAATTATTTTAATTGCTCTTTTTAAAATTCTCTTCAGTGTAATTTTCTAACAGGAAGATTCCCAAAAATACCCCATGCATGACCTATTTAAGTAGTATGCACAGARTACTCATGCCAAAGAAGTGGAAGARAATTYTGTTAGTTCCTTCCTCAGGGACAGGATCCTTCACACAGAGGCTTAAATTCTGAGGGCTTTGTTATTATGCTTTTCTGTAAAACCATATGGAATTTACTCTTTACATTCACTCCTACATGTYGACATTGCAGGTTTCTTCCTCTAGTTGGATGTTTTCCTGCAGCTCTACCAAAGTTTCCAAGATGAACCTCTCCTTTTCCATCTTTTATTGAATTTGCTCATGCTGTTTTGCCAGCTTTTGCCAGTTTTCCCCATTCCACCCAACCCAATGAGCAGCTGCAAAAGCCATTTATGGTTAATAACTGTCCTTTAAGTCAAAGTTTAAGAAAGAAAGACTTCATACTGTTCTTTGTGAAAATTCATTAGCCTTTTCAGCTCTTCAGCTCACTAGTAAACCACAGAACTCTCACCCATATAAAAAAGGACACAGTAAGACCACTGTTCTTTCATCTGCAGCAAATTGAATWAAAAAGATGATGTTTCAACTTTCTTCAAGTGCCAATCTGGAATGGTCGGCCTTCAATTGCAAAACTAATGCCAAGAAAAGATTTGTACAATATAGTGATGTTATGTTTTTTTTCTTCCCTGCAAAGCCAGCAAAGCTGTTCGTGTGTATACAAGGGCATAATTTAGCAAGGCACTTTGGCACATATGAACCAATAYATTTGAAGGTATTTAGGTGGCAGCATTGCTATTACCTTCTTCCAATTATACCACGATGGAAAGACAATAGGTTGAACAGAACACAAGGCATTGCTCCCACTGAAGAGAGTAAAAATGAATCCACAAAGCTCCTTTATGGAATGAGGTAACTGATACCACTGCTGCAGCCACAAGCAAAGGTGAGAGATACAAGAGATTTTAAACACAGAGATTTTACTGGCTGCCGTGTGGCAGCTGCATGTCTGGAAAAAAAAATAGTAGAGAGATTGAAGTCAGCAGCAAGGACGCAAAATATTTTTTTTTAAATGGCACTAACAAAAATTAGAATTCCTGATGGAATGGTAACAAGGGTGAACAAGACACCTGAACAGAACTATGTAATCCCCTATAACATCCAGGATTGGATCAAAAATGGTGAATGGGAATCTGCAAAACTATATATTTTAGYTAATTAATCATAAAAACCCTCAGCCCCTCATGAATGAGCTGAAGATCATCTGATGAAAGTGTAGCTCCTATAGACCTGCAGATGTCTGTGCATCTGCTGATCTACATTTCCAGTGAATGTTTCTGCTTTGCTCAGGGTGTCTGTGTGGAACTATAACTCTTCAAAAGAAGGATCCTGTCAGTTTGCCCTGAAAAAAACCTTATCGAAAGTTATAGAAATAATCACGGTAGCACATCAGACTACACACTAACAATTACTTGTAAATATCTTCATTTAATCGTGGAATCATGTGAAACTACTGATGCCATGGCATTGTGCAAATCCACTCTCATTCATGCAATAAAATTAAAGGGATTTGCCAGCTGGCAAAGCTCCTAGTAACCAACAATCAAACATCTTCCCCTGTACTTGGTACTGGTACACACCTGAGTATCTTGTCCAGTTCTGGGCCTGTCAATTCAGGAAGGAYATTTAGGTGCTTGAGMRTGTCCAGAGAASGGCAAYGGAGCTGGAAAAGGYTTTGGAGAACAAGTCTGATGATGAGCAGTGGAGGAAGCTGSGGTYGTTTAGCCTGAAGAAAAGGAGACAGAAGTGACCTTATGCCCTCTTCAATTCCCTGAAATGAGACTGTAGACAGCTGGGGCTTGGTCTCTTCCACCAGGCAGCCAGTCCATAGTCTTAAGATTCACCTGGGAAGATTTAGGTTGGACATTAGGAGGAATTTCTTCACAGAACTGTTAATTAGACACTGGAATGGAATGCCTAGCTGCGTGGTGGACTTACCATCCCTGGATGTTTTTAAGGAAAGACTGGACATGGCACTCAGTGCTATGGTGGTTTTTGGTCACAGGTTTGACTTGATGGTCTCGGAAATCTTTACAAACCTACCTGATTATGTGATTTTGTGATTCTGCGATCAGTCCTGTAGCTAACTACTTCTGGATACTATTTTTTTAGGTTCGTAACCGCATGTGATTAAAGTAATTTGTGGCTTCAGCACGCTGTTTTAGAGTTATCCGTTACGTATWAAAAAAGACTTCAAACAAAAGGCTTTGAAGACTCCCTGGTGGTGGTCYCTCTGCAGGGAGGGACARCGGAGCYGAGGGGCAGATTCCCCATCATCACCCTGCTGCCCACGGTGCTTTGGATGCAGCCTGTATAACACAGYTGGTTTTYTGGGCTGCAAATTCCCATTGCTGTGTCAYCAGCRCCGGGACAYCGGGGCTGTGTTTGTCCCCGGTATCCGCTTCTTCCCCAGGGCAGCCGGGCGGCCAACTGAGGCCTCCGGCTCGGAACCCGCCGGGGCTGCCCGGTCYGGGGGAGAACCGGGCTGAGGAGGGTTTCCCCGGCCCGGGCAGTCAGGGCGGCTGCAGGCGGCCCTCTCCGTGCCCACAACGGGCAGCAGGTGACACGAAACAGCCCCATCTCTGCTGCCGCCGCTGGCACCGCTCCGTGGCCTCCATCAGCGCTGGGACACCATTCCGGGATTTCAGGGGGTGGGTGCGGAGATTCTCACCCTCAGAGGCTCCGCACGGTGCTCCCCTGTCGTGGGTTTAACGCCTTGGAATTCGGTTTCCCGGCCAATGCACCAGAAATGTCGAGGTTTGAATGAATTCAATGGGAGCAAAACACTCCCAAGTTCCAGCAAACCCCCTCCCCCCCTCTCTTTTCTCCACCCGGGTCCTAGAGACAACCTTTTCCACAGAGAGGAAAGTGAAAAGAAAAGGGGGAAAAAMWMTWTWTWTWWAAAAAAATTATATAAACACAAAGAAAAAAACCTGTGGAATCAGCTGTTAGATCCCAAAGCCTTTCTCTTCCCTCCTGGGAGTAGCTTCCCCTCCGGGTCCCCAGAGGGGTTTGACAGAGTCTCTTTCCAATAGTTCACTGAAGGATTTTCTCCCTGCCGTGTCACGAGAATCCTCCAGATCCCAGATGACGAAGAGGAAAAAAACAAATTCGAGGAAAAAACAAGTCCAAAGAAAGCAGAAAAAAAAAAAGGACCAGTCCCAGGAAGAGCAGCTTCTTTTTTCCACCGCTGATCCCGAGAGAGGGAGCCTCCCCAGAAAAAAGTCTGTGTCTTGTCCCTTTCCCTCCCATYGTCCTTGAAGGGAGGAACATCACCAAACAAACCAGAGCAGTCTCGACTATCATGTATAGTTACAGAAGGGTTGTTTAACTTTTCCTCTAACATAAGCAGATGATAGGAATACAATACTCAGCTAACCTAGGACATCCCCTCACACCGGGGAGGTGCTGCCCGTCCCCTCAGGGCGCAGCGCGGACTCTGAGGGCCGCTCCCGCCCCGCCCATGGCCCCGCCCATGGCCCCGCCCCCGGCCCCGCCCATCGCCCCGCCCCCGCCGCGCCGCAGCAGCCCCCGCGCATATAGGGCCGCTCCGCCGCACGGGCCGCGCCGCCGCCGCCGCTCCAGGCATGGCACAGGGCTCTACCTCACTATGGCAGCAGCAGCAGCAGCGCGGCACAGCACCCTGGACTTTCTGCTCAGCGCCACAGGTAAACTGGGGTAGAAGGCGGCGGGGGGGAGCGCGCCCCTTTTTTATCTCCTCCCGGGTCCGTGTCTCGCCCGGGCCGCTGAGGATGAGGCCCGTGCGGGCGCCGCCTCCCCCCTCCGGCGCTTTCCCGGCGTTCCCGCCGGGCTGTGTTTGTCCCCGGTACCCGCTTCTGCGGCCAACTGAGGCCTCCTGCTCGGAGCCAGCCAGTGCTGCCCGGTCCGGGGAGGAACCGGGCTGGGGAGGGGAGGATGTGCGGGTTTCCCCGGCCCGGGCGGGCGCGGCGGCTGCAGGCGGCCCTCGGGCACGTTTTGCCCGGGACGGGGGGAGCAGGGGGCGCGGGCAGGAGGTCCCAAACCACAGAGCCGGGGGAAGGGAAGGGAAGGAGGGCCTGGCCGGGACACCCCCTTGGCCGGGCCTGTGGAGCTGTGCTGCCCTTGCACCGCGCCTGAGGCGGGTGCGGCGAGCCGGGCTGGGGCTGCCGGGGAGTGCGGTGTCACTGCGGTGCCGCTCCAGCCGGCGATTAGCGCTGGCTGTGGCAGGGCCTGACCCCGCGGGTATCTGTAGGGGGCACGTTCGGGCCGGGAACCGCCGCCACAACCACGTTTCGCAGCGGCCCAGCCGGGGGAAGGATTTGATGGGGGAAGGGGAGAGCTGCCGTGGGCGCCAAAGCGCCTCGCTCGGTGCTGAACAGGCCGCGGATCGCTGTGGCCTTCCCGCTGCCGGCACCCGCCCCTTGAGTATCGAACCCSTTTTTCCTTCCCAGTTTAGTGTGAAGGCAGTTCCCTGCCTTTACCGACAAAATCTGTTAAAAGCTTGCTTAGAGAAAGCGGTTCCTGACCACAGGGGCTTTGCTGCGTGCTGTGCCCTTTGTGGCATTGCTGCATGTTCACTTCGGAGAGCAAGAGCAGGGAGGGGAAGGAGTTCTTCACGAACAATGTGCTTTAGGATAGTGCGCTGTGGTTTTTACAGTGAAAACCTTGCAGTTTCCCTTTTATGCTGCGATTTTTCAGGGCAGTTTAGCCACTCTAATGGTGACCTAATGGCAAATGAGATAGTCCTGCTGTTTTCCTTGTGCTTGACTAATCTAGTATGAGCAGAATTGGTAAGCTAAACCAGTGTAAAAATTAATTTCGTAGAAATTAGCCAGCTCCAAACATGACCTCTTCCTCTGAAGTTCTCTGAAAAATCATGGGTTCAAGAGCTAAATCAATGACTGGCTTCTGCAGAAGGGTCGAAATTGCTAGGAATAAAGTAGGTCTATTGAAAATAAGCCTTAGGTATGTAAGCACCTCTATGATGTAAAAAAACAATGCTGTTAATTGGAGAATGTGGTAATGATTGTAATTATTGCTTTGTCCTTAAGTAGGCTTTTGTATTCCATTTCCCTTTACTTCTGAGGACAATGTTAGCATCTTTCTCTGACCAAGATGGATGTACCTAAACGGGGTTGGGGTAATGGACTCTCTATAGAAGTGTTGCTGTGTAGATCAAAGGAGGAAAGAAGCATTTTTCCCTTCTCATATTTGTCTCAGCACGATAGACATATTCAGTGAGATGTGAAGAACTTTCTTCCACTTGTGACAGCTCAGAAGCTGGTCTGTACTTTTTTATGTGGAGTTTTTCCTCTCAGCTAGTGTTCATGGTCTGAAGTACAAGGAATTGTCTAAGTAGGAAGAATTGGTGAATGTGCATGTGTAGTTTTTGTTACAAGAGTTAAACCTTAAAGCTTAATCATAGATTAAGTAAACATTTAATTGTCTACTAATTGATTTTTTTTTTCTCCAAATTAGGTGGACAATTAGAATTCTGAATGATCTGGAATGCCATGAAATGGCGTTTAGTAARACTAAATGTGTGGGTTTGGACCTTCATATCTTGGGAGGATAAAATGTTATTTCTAGGTCTCAGCTTAAGCTGTTGTATCTCTGTTTGCATTCTGGAGAAGGGAGAATGTGTAAACTTGGTAAATACACATTCCTTATTCCTCAAAACATTAGCTGTATTTTTGTTTTTTGACAAATGTGTGTTTTTGGGTAGGTACTAATATAACTGTTAAAGTTGCCAGCTTATCATGGACTCATAGAATGGCCTGGGTTAGAAAGGACCTTRAAGATTATYTGCTTCCCACCTCCCTKCCATGGGYASCTACACCTTGGGCTAGGCCAAGTTGCATTAAACCCCACCCAACCTGGCCTTGAATACATTCRGGGATGAGGTACCACAGCTTCTCTTGGGAGTCTATCCCAATGCTTCACAGTAAAGAATTTTTTCCTAACATTTAACCCAACCCTAGTCTTTCAGTTTGAAGCCATTCCCCTTTGAAAAAGTCTCTCTCAGTTTTTCTTCCAAGCCCCCTTCAGGGAAGACTGTGGTTAGCTCACCTCAAAACTTTTTCTTTTTCAGACTGAGCAATCCCAGTTTTCTCAGCCTTTCCYTGTAGAAGAGGTGTTCCATCCCTCTGATCATCTTGGTGACCTCCTCTGGAGGTAGTGTCTCACCAGAGAGGAACTGAGGGGCAGATTCCCCATCCTCACCCTGCTGCCCACGGTGCTTTGGTTGCAGCCTGCAACACAGTTGGTTTTCTGTGCTGCAAATTCCCATTGCTGTGTCATGTCCAGCCTCTCACCCACCAGCACCCCCAGGCCTTTCTGSGCAGGGCTGCTCTTGTTCTGTTTGTCCCCAGCCTTTGCTGATTCCAGGACTTGCCCTGACCTGGGTGCAGCCCCTTGTACTCGGTGTTGTTTAACCTCAGGAGATTCCCATGGGCCACTTCTCAAGCTTGTCCAGGTCTCCTGACATGCCATCCCATCCTTCAGGTGTGGCAACCACACCACTCATCTTGGTGTCATCTRCAAACTTGCTGAGGGTGCCCTCARTCCCTTTGTCTATGTSATTAATAAGGATACTCAACAACTGGTCCCAGTATGGACCYCTGAGGGSCASCACTTGTCACTGATGTCCACTGGACATGTGGTTGTTGGCCATGAGCCTCAGTGATGGTCCAACCACCTTCTTATGTGCCAGACAGCCCACCTATTGAATCGAGCTCTTGCCAGTTTAGTGAGAAGTATGTTGTGGRGCATTGTGTCAAAGGCTTTACAGAAGTTCAGATAAATGACAATCTGTACCTTCCTGTAGGAAGGTTGTACAACAGTTTGTTTCATTGCAGTTCATCTTGCTGTAAGTGTATATGGTAATGCTGGGGAAGGATTTGAGAATCAACTTGTGTGACAGTCATATTTCTCACTGTTCACTTTTAAGATAACTGCTATCCAAAGGCTTCATTGTAATTGTCTACCATCAAGACTGAACATGATTATAAAGGCTGAGATGATAGTATTTGAGATGTTACTAGATCTCTAGCATCTGTTTATTGCTTTGTTCTCTGGTATGTGTGACTTGTCTTTATCCTCTGTCTTCTGAGGTTCTCTGTGAGTAAGGGAGGGAGGCTGTCTTGGTCTACAGGACACAGCTCTGCATGAGCAAGATGGGATTTTGTCATGTGTTAGTACTTGTGCAGCTATTAGCAACTGCTTTTGCTGCAGAGTGGTGTAGTTTCTGGTGTGTTGTTCTCACTGCTGACTTACTTGGAATGTGACAAACCCTTTCAGTAACAGCCCTGGTGTCTTCAGGCAGTCCAGTTTTCTTGGGGTATTCGACTATGAACATTCTTCATTATTCACATGTACTCAGCAAGGATCTTGAAAATGATAATTCATATAGCCAGTTCTTAGTGTGTGCAGTCATCACTTCCATAAGGTTGTTGGAAATGCCAGCAATGTCAATAAAAGTGTGGGTCTGAACAGTTAGAGCAAACAGGTTCTCTTGTATTGGTTTGAGATGGGGAAAGACAATACTGCCTTGGGAATGGGGTTGCGTGAGATCAATGAAGCCATGTACTTCCAAACCCTGACAGTTTTTTTCAAACTTTTCAATGAGTTTTTTTATATACAACAAATATCTATATGTTAGTTAAAAGAAAAAAGGTCTTTTGCATGTCCTAATAACTGTCTCCTCTAATTGGTTATCTCACTATTTTTTTAGAWATAATAATAGTCTGTTAAATATAAGCAGGCTTGAATCTTTGATAGCTGAATAGCATAGCCTGACATTCAGGGTCTCTTGAAGAGCTGATTAAATTAGCAACTGTAGAACTCAGCCCTTTGAGCAGAAGTGTTTTGCTTATCTATGACTCTGGAAATAAACAGACAACTTTAGCAGGCAAACAGCATAGTGTTCCCTATACTTAAAGAATATAAGGAGACTACTTTTAAATTTATGAAAATGGACACAGGTCACTGGCATTCCTTAATTGGGGCATAGAAAGCTTTAGTTGTGTCTTTTTGTTAGTCAGGAGAGATTAATTTGAGACTCCTTGAGTTATTAGTTTGAGGACTTTATTATGAAAGTATACTTTAATAATATTGAAATTATGAATACTTGATGCCTTATACCTGTACAGAATTTATTTTGGATTTACTGTATGTTGTAAATCTGCTTGYACATGGGAGTGTTTCCTTCCATGCATGAACGTGTCATATAAGCTTAGTTTTTTTGGTTGTTGAGTATTGAACTGATTAATGTTCTTCAGGTTTCTCCAAGCATGGGAGTGGAGATAATATGGAGACTCTTGTGAGATTTGGGTTCTTCTATTTTCTTCAGAAAGTTACTTTGAAAGGCAARTTAGTTGGAAATCAGTTCAATTGTCTCCAGGTTTACTGTTTGGGATTATTGCTGGGGRCATTATATATAGTTCATGGGACAGTGGCACAAACAGTTGTGCCCATAATCCTCATGGCCAGGGCACAGATGGGTGAGGTGGTGGAGGAGAGCAGTGATTACCTGAGCTGGCATGATTACTAAAACAAATAGTTCATGGATGAATTACACACTCCAAGAAAGCTGTGGTTGGACTGAGTGCAGGCAAGGTAATACATTTTTAAGAAAATGGTAAGTAATAGTGTGTGTGCACGTGATCTGCTTTTCCTTGCATTCATGTTT